AAGGGAGGAGACAGAAACCTGAGATCACACAAGCCTGCTCCAAACTTAATGGTAAACCAATGTGGTGGCTCAGCACACACACAGTGAATGAGGGATGATCAAAAGGACCATTCTGGAGAGTTCTGCCGGCCTCACCTTCTTGGAGACGCTAGCTGAGAAACTGAAGGCCTCACTCAACACCTGAAGTGCTTTTGCTATTCCGCTCACCTGAGCCCCTCCTTGCCATATTCCACACACAGGTGAGACCCATCCACTATGCCGAATCCCCACTTTCCCTGATTTCTGTGCCAAGATCCCCAGATACCCCCCCACCCCAAACTCCCAGCGATGTACTGAAAACCTACCTTACCATTCCCTCCCCAAGTCCCAAAGCTGCCAACACTGAAACACACGCCAAGGAAAGGGCCCACGTCCTGTCCACTATAGTACCTGGCACGCTGCTCCCCAAGCACCCCGGACCTAAAAGCGTTAGCCATGCAGTCACAGAGCGTACCTTAGAGGTTACTTGGTGATACACAAGCGATGGGAGTCCAAACCTCACTGTCTCCACGTGGGCTCGGCCGTACAGTACAGGAGGCTGGCGCTTACTGTGCAGCCTGCGCCTAAGATTTTATAACTGTCTCCATATGCCCTTGTTTCAAGACATACATTCTAGCCCATTTTGTACTACCACAACAAAATGCCCAAGATGGCAATTTATAAAAAAGAGAAATGTGTTTGCTCACAGTTCTGGAGGCTGGGAAGCACAAGATTAAGGCACCAGCAAGTTCAGTTGTCTAATGAGGGCAGCATGCTCCGGAGTGGAGGAACACCATGTCCTCTCGTGGCAGAAGGACAAGGTACTGAATGTGCTACATGAAGCCTCTTCTACAAGTGCAGGGGTCCTCAAACTTTTTAAACAGAGGGCCAGTTCGCTGTCCCTCAGACCGTTGGAGGGCCGGACTATAGTTTAAAAAAAAACTATGAACAAATTCCTATGCACACTGCACATATATTATTTTGAAGTAAAAAAAACAACAACAACAACAAAAAAAAACGGGCAAAAACACCTGCATACGGCCTGCGGGTTGTAGTTTGAGGACGCCTGTACAAATGCCTTAATCCCTTATCTATATAAGGGATTATGGAGGAGGAGCCTTCATGGCCTAATCACCTATTGCAGGCCCCGCCTCATAATACTACCCTATTGGCAACACCTGAATTTTGGAGGGGACCCATCTAAACCATAGTATCCTCAAACGCTTCACTTGCTTGTGGATCAAGTCTTTTGGTATTGGACCCACTCTTGCCACACCACTAACCCTGCAGAGGCTGGGGGAGGGCTGGTGACAGAGGGCCCCCCCATGGCACCAGTGCACACAATGCCTCCCATAGGAGCCACATTGTCAGATGTTTGGATTGCAAACGAGGAAGAATTCAGAACGCTCAATTATTGTATGGAACGATGTCAAACTTACATCCAAAAGTTGTATTTAAAAATATGAAAACAAACCCAAAAGATGTGCTGCTCAGATTTCAATATTAGTCTGCACAGCCCATACTAAAGGAATAACTCAACCACAAACATTAAGAAAGGGGTTTTCGGTTTACGTGAGATAAACAGGCATCTGGAGGCCCAGGACCTGATCAACGTCTCTACTTTCCACTTCTTTTCCCCGATGGCTGTAAAAAATTAGCGCCATCATGTAAGAATCCAACACAAACGCCAGTGCCAATGAAGCATCTAGGGAAAGGGAAACACTGAAAACTGTTTGTCCCTTCCAGGTTTTAGAGACAGATAATAATTAGATCAATATAGATAAATTGGACAGTAATCCATATAGTACTCTCCCTCCGCACGCTTCACAGGAGGGTAGAAAGTGGCCAGAGCCAGACCTTATAAATCATCTCTCTGAACCTCTCCTTTTATAGAGCAGTTTCACAAAGAGTGGGTGGCTTGTCCGGGGTCACCCAGCTGAGTAGATGACAGAGCGTCCCTCAGAGATGGTTGCTTGGCAAAGCTACAAAGAAAAGAAGTCGAAGCCGTGCTTTGCATTTTGCAGATAAGACATAGTCCCTTGTTGCCAGATGTGGAAACTGAGCAAAGGGTCAAAGCCCCACAGCTCCTGATGCTTGTGTCGTCACGCCAGCTGCCTTACAGTCAGCGTTAAGCTTTACGTAACTATTATCACCTGGAAGCACGCCACCGGCTTTTAGTACTATTTCTTTAAACAGCAAGAATCACCACCTTTGTCATATTAGCTCAGGGCTCAGCAAATTGGTTGCCTTCGTTTGGTTTAGAACTCGCGGAGAGTGCAAAACACTCCCTCTTCTAACCTAGAATTTTCCCATGGACTTTTGCAAAATTGCTCCAACTTCTGGGACTACTGCAACCCCGAACACAAAATTACTCCAACGTTACACGTTTGGAAACCCAGAGAAGTTATTTTAAAGATCTATTCCACCCTTATAACGCCCTATCGCTTGCTCTAACTCATTATAAAAGATCTCAAAGCAGACCTTTTCCATTCCTTTCTTTCTCCTTAACTAGGTATAGATCAAAGAATGGTGAACCAGAATTGGAAAGGTCCTCGAGTGTAATTCAGTCTAACCACCTTTCTGACGCTAGAATCATGATTTATAACCTCCTGGCCAAATGGTCACCTAGGTGATGACAGAATTCTCGTAGGGACAGAAATCCCACTTTGTTCTGAAAAAATCACTATGTTCAAAGTTAATCCCTGAAGCTTCCTCTGACTGCTGGAATCTTTCATAATGTCCCACTTCCTGTGAATATAAAATTGCCTCCACAATCTTGTGTTATTGACAAGAATTGTTAGAAATGAAATAAACTGTGCTGTTTATGACAGTCAAATCTGTATAAATATACTTAAAATATTTATCTTTATTTACTCCTATGAAAACAGGTGACTAGACTTTCACTAAATTTGGGAGACGCCATGTGGATTGATCTGCCTTAAAATACCAGCCATGAAACTGACATTGGGTAGTTATGATCACAATGTCTCTAATAGAAAGTCAGCCAAACCTCAGAGCAAATCAGCTCGGGGACAAGAGGCTCGTGTCACTGCTGATTGACAAAGATAGGCCTTAGGTATTAAGAGGCTGTACCCAGAAAAGCAGAGATTCCGAATATGAATGCAGATCGAAAATCACAAGGTCAAACATTCAAAATTACAGGCATTGATTTGTAATCAAGTTCTTTTGAAATTGCTTTGTATATGGGCAGCTCTATGTAGCACACTCCAGGGAGAGTGGCAACCAGGATTTGTTTTTTAACGATATTTAACGATTTTCCCCGGGAGTCAGCTAGCAAGAGTCTGTATGTGAAGATGCTTCATAAACTGCAAAGCACTATAAAATGTGATGTTGCATCATCATTATGTGTTGAACTCTTACTGAGCACTCACCATGTGCTTATACTGGTTAGCTGCTGAATGTTCTAGACATTTTTAATATCTCATAAAATGAGTAAAAATAAAAAAAAATCCCTCACACCAAAAGCTTGAGCTTGTAGTAAAGGATTTCTTTACTTGGTTCTAGGTATATGAAAAATAATGATACACTAAAATTGCATAAATTTATGGTTCATATATAAACTAGAAAAAAAAGCACAAGATGGGAAAGTGCCCAAAGAGAACAGGCATAAATAACAGCAGGAGGGCTTTTGATATGACTAAAGAGAGTTGCTCAGAGGCCCACAATTTGTTGGTTGCATGACCAAAGTGGGGAGTGGGGTTAGATGGACACAGCTATGTTCCTGGGCAAGTTGAAGTAGATTCTATCCAGAAATGGGGAAAAGAACTAGCTGCCCTTGAAATCATTTCTTCTCCTAAATTATTAGTTGATTTCTGAACTGGTGTCAATAGGTTAGTTAATAAGAAGTTACTAATGCCTTCCAAGAAACTAGACAAAGCTGCTATCTTATAAATCTAGACACAGGCCAGGTACACTGACTCATGCCTACAATCCCAGCACTTTGTAAGGCTGAGGCATGAGGATGACTTGAGGCCAGGAGTTCGAGACCAGACTGGGCAGCATAGCAAGACCCCATCACTACAAAAATTTTTTAAAAGCTGGGCATGGTGGCATGATGGTATAGTCTTAGGTGCTTGGGAGGCTAAGACAGAAGAAGGATTGCTTGAACCCAGTAGTTTGAGGTTTCAGTGAGCTGTGATTGTGCCACTGCACTCTAATCTGGGAAACAAAGTGAGACCCTGTCTCTAAAAAAATTTTTTTTAAATATATATGTATAAAATAAAATTAGACACAGACACAAATTAATACTAGGCTGTCCTGTGCCCATGATAAAAGCTGAGGCATTCATCTCACTAGTTTCCATGGGCTCTGACAATCTGCACAATGCAATGCAGAGGTTAAGGGCATGGGCTCCGGAGTTAGACTTCCCGGGTTCAAATCCTGGCTCCACCACTTTCTGGGTGAGCAACTTTAGGTATTTACTTAATTAATCTATGCCTCCATTTCCTCATGCCCTTGCGGACTCATTATGAAAAAGAAAATTAAAGTATAACACTCCTAGAACAGTGCCTGGCGCATGCAAGTGCAATACTACACGCTTGCTGTTATTCTATCCATGGGTTATTCTAACTTGGCCCAATTACTAGAAGTGCTTGTGAGAAGGGGAGATTAAAACTGCCTATCCTATTCTACCTGGGTTTCGCAGTTTTATGTTTATATTTTGTTTTATTTCTTTAAAAAAGGAAAACGAAAGCAAGAAGTTCTACCTCCTTCTGCCAAGGAACAATGAAACTGTCCACTCAATGACTGTGCTTTCCATGAGAAAGTAAGTGGAAACAGATGTTTCTGCAAAATAAAAATCCATGCTATACCTTCGGTGGTGCTCCCATAAAACTTTCCACCAGCCGTCCCCGGGCCAGCTGCCAGCCTCTTGCAGCTGGGTTCTGCCTGGGTGCCAGGACCCCCCGCCCCCAGATGCCTTTTCTCCCACTCTGCCCCCCGAACTCCACGCACGTGCCAACCTTCTATGAAATCGGAGGCCGTGTAGGGTCGCTGGTGGGGGCTGCCGTCCGCTGGGCTGTTGAGGGTCTCCAAGGCCGATTCAATGGCTTCGACCAACTCGTCCCGTTTGTCCTTCCTCACCGGCTTCTCCTCGGGGTGGCGGGTCAGGCCGGTCTCCAGCTGGTACACCTTCTGCAGGGTGAAGCTGTCGAAAGGCACTGCCGCGTACTCGGTGGCCAGCTTGACCCCGGCGTGCACCTCCGCCTTGTCCACCTGCGCGTGCAGGAAGCCCAGCAGGTCGGCGCGGGGCTGCTCCGCGGGCGCCCTGTCCAGCCGCAGCCCCGCGGGCTCGCTGGCTTGGAACTGCCCGCTCCTGAGCTGCTCGCTCCTCTCCTGCAGCTCCAGCTTGAGCTGCGCGATCTGCCGCTTCAGGCTGCCCACGTAGTTGCGGTGCTGCTCCTCCCACTCCTGCAGGACGGCCTGGTACCCCTCCTTGCCCGTGGGGCCGTTGGCCCTGGGCAGCGCCAGCTGCTCCTCGTCGCCCCGCGGCGTGCAAGCCAACATGTAGAGCACGGAGACGGCGCAGCAGAGCAGCACCAGCAAAACCACCACCCGGGAGACCCACGCGAGCAGCCCCCGGCGAAGCATCCTCATTCAGGCATCGGCCACGCGCCCAGCACCGGCGACATCCTTCCCTGGGCTCAGACCACAGCAGGCGAGCGTCTGGGGCCCCCGGAGCTGCTCGCGTCCATTGCCTTCTAGAACGCGCCCTGCGCCTCGGCATCCACCGCCACGCGGATCGGCTTCCCTGCTCCCGAAGGACGATGTCGCAGGCAGAAGCGATGGGGGAAGTGACACCTCCGAGTTCTCACCTTCATTCCCATCATAGCCTTCCCGGATGTGCAGCCGGCGCTCGAGGGGCCCTGGGAGGAGACACAAATGACAGCAACACTTAATCAAAATAACAACCCCCTCGTGTTCTCTGCAGCAATCAATATCCAAACGGGCCTCCCGTGAGGTTTCTGGAAAAGGCTTACGATACAGGAATAAATGGTATTCGGTGTTTGCAAGTCACAACACAAATGTGCGCGCCTGCAAGGTCACGCGTATACAGGACAAAGGGCACAGAAAATTGACCGGAAGGAAATGTGGCAACATGTGAACACTAATTCTCTCTCTGGGTGGAAGGATTCAGAGAGATTTTTCTGCTTCTCCCTATTATTTCTGTATCTTGTAAATTCTCCACAATGGCACACGTTTTTATGGTTAAAAAAGGAAGAAAGCAAAACTTTAATGGCATTGGAATTGCCCGTAGGGGACTTCTGGGCTAGGGCCCATCAGTGGGGCTGGGTGCGATTAGGTGAGGCCCCCGTCGAGTTCACCTGTGCACGCTCATTCGGGGCAGGCCTGGGTGTGGCTCAAAATGTTTCCGATGAGGAGGTGAGGAAGCACCCAGAGGTTCAAATATGGACACAATAAATGTGGACAGTACGGATAGTGACATATTCAGAAGGGATCAGGGGACAATGGTTCCAGCTAAGTCTCCAATTCTGCTTGCAGACAGGGAAGATGAGTTCACCCTAGAAAGGTAACAGAGTTCAGAGACACTGTCCTATGGGGACACAAATCCCAGGCATGGCTCTGCCCCAGCCTCCATTAGGAATTCCGTGTCCTGACTGTTCACTAGAAATGCTCAGATCAGTCTCAGGGCCTCTCACGTGCCCTGCACCTCAACTCCAAACCCCAGTGACAAAGGAGGAGACCACCTGACTCGCCTTCCCCATGTCCCCTCAGAGCACCCTTCTTCCCTCCTCCACCCATCTCACACATCCCCCCGCACAGTCCCGTTTCTGTGTTCTCCATTAATGCCCTGTCGTCTCCCCCTGCACATCTTAGCCAGGAAAAATAAATAAACAAAAGAATGATCAATGGAAAATAGATTAAAATTTATTGTTCAGGGACATTTTTATAAAACCTCCTAGATGCAACTTTCTTTCCTCTCTCTCTTTTCTTTTCTTTCTTTCTTTCTTTCTCTCTTTCTCTCTTTCTCTTTTTCTCTCTTCCTCCCTCTCTTCCTCCCTCTCTTCCTCCCTCTCTTCCTCCCTCCCTCCCTCCCTTCCTTCCTTCCTTCCTTCCTTCCTTCCTTCCTTCCTTCCTTCCTTCCTTCCTTCCTTCCTTCCTTCCTTCCTTCCTTCCTTCCTTCCTTCCTTCCTTGTTTTTGGATACAGGGCCTTGCTCTGTCACCCAGGCTAGAGTGCAGTGGCCTAGTCACAGCTGACTGCAACCTTGAACTCCTAAACCTAAGTGATCCTCCTGCCTCAGACTCCTGAGTAGCTGGGACTACAGGCATGTGCCACCATGCCCAGCTAATTTTTCTATTTTTTGTAGAGGTGTGGGTCTCACTGTTGCTCAGGCTGGTCTTGAACCCCTAGCCTTGAGTGATCCTCCTGCCTTGGCCTCCCAAAGTGCTAGGATTACAGGTGTGAGCCACCACACCTGGCTAGGTGCATCTTTCTATAACACTTCTCTTACAAACAAGTTCCCCACAGATACTGTGCCTTTGCCATTTTATTAAAAACTTGACGTTTTTAATGATCCCCATAATACCTAAATTATTCTTTATAAGAGTCTTTCACCAAACCCAGAAAGCCAGATTCTGGGCCCATAATCATCTCATTTACTAGTGGTCTATCCCATTTACTGATGGGGAAAAGGCACCTAGCCCAGTCAATTAGCAACTTCGGTACTCCTAGGAGAAAAGTGAAAGCTCTTGTTCTCTGAAGATTTAGTAAATGCTAACAGCTTCATTGACTCTATTTAAATATTCACCTCTATATACTGTGTCTACACATGGAAGTTCTTCTGCTACCCAGGAGGTATACCTGTTGATTTTGATACCACTAAGCTATCAAAATAGTTTATTTCTCAATTTTCCTTAAAAATTCAGTAGGTAACCTTCTCTCTAATATTCCCCTTGGCCCGAGGAGTCTCTCTACTATAATTTAGAACAATACACAGTTATTAGTGCTAAGTTGAAAGTGTATGTTTAGCCCTGGAAGCCTTTTCCATCTGATGAAAATCTTGGGATTTGTATAATTACTATAATTCTGTGATTAAAAATATCTCAGCTTTGGTGTTCAGGCATCTTGCTGTTTTTAATGAAATCTCTCAGATAAACCCATTATATCCAAGTATTAAATTACCAGTGAAGACATGTTATCATGTTATTCCACCACTTTAAAGACTTTAAATAGGTTGTCATTAAAGACAAAATAGGCAAATCAAAAAACAGAAATGGAACATTCCATGTATTTTATTGTGCTGTAGAAACCTAAAGTATGCGATTTTTCCAACAGATCTTTAAAATGGAATAATTATTATATTTGCATAAAAGATTAAAATTGCGATGTTAACTGAAAACAATGTTTAAAGATTAAATAATATATGATTAAAGAAATTTAAAATGAGAATATTTTTTTTGTTTTGTTTCATAAGTCTCTTCAAAATCTAGTCTTTTTTTTTTTGAAATTCACTAGTTGAAATTTCAAGGTTATTTGGTATTCCACTCTTTGGAAAAAAAGGAATAAAAGGAGAGGAAACCTCCCCCCCAGATCTTTAAGCAGAATGGACTTTTTAAAAGAAATAACAAAAAGCCATAAAAACTGCTGCCAAAGAGGCAGTGGTGAATTTTCCCTTATAAATGTCAAGAGCTGATAACGTATGTCAGAAACAAAACTCTGCGTTCCTTAACAGACAAAATATTTCCAAAGCATGCCAGCAATGGAATCCGTAATCAAAAATAGTAACAATCGGCTGTATCTGCCTGCTGAAGTCAGGAGAGATTCATCCTCTGGATTCTTGCTTCTATGGAGACTTTCGGGTTTTTCATTCGGCAGCACAGAACATCATTCTTAAAACTGGGTGTCACTTTGCCAGATCTGCCACTTTCAGGATAGAAAACCTCAAAGAGATGTCACCAGACCAATGTAGACTTACACTACTAAAGCACTGTGCAATCTCCCTCTCTCCACAGAGATTCTGGGAGAATAAAAGAGTTAACATTTATATTGTGTTTACAGACTTGCAGAAGGAAAGCACCGTGTAATTACCAAGGACTGCTACAAGTTAGAGATGGCAGTGAAAATGCAGCTTCATGTGCTCACAGCAGCACTGTGCTACTATTTTAAAAACTTAGAAAGGCCCCCAGATTTCAGATGAGCTCAGTCTCTTGGGGGTGGTGAAAACAGGGAAGAGAAAGAGAGCAAGAAGGAGTCCCTGTCAACAATCAATTTTAAGACTCTTGGGAGAAGAAAAAAGATGCATATTCTTGTTTTTATTTTCAATTGTAGAAAATCCTTGTGCTCATCATGTTTCTTGCCACTGACATTTTTGAATGTCCCTCCTTACTAAATTGCTTTTCCCAATCCCTTCCTGTCCCTGGCCAAGCCATCAATGATGGTTCTATGATGCACCATGTCTGAAAGAGTAGATTTATTGATTGGACTGAAGGGGACATCCAAGTTCAATGCCTTTACTGCCATTCTTACAATCTTTGGGCAGAAAAACAATGGTGAAAAATCTTCTTTATAGTCCTCTGTGAAGGCAAAACACTGTTTCACAGCAACGCGTTCTAGTGCATTCTAGGTGGACTCTGGTCTGAGTCCAACAACAGCAGTTCTTATTCCAAGAATTCTCAGTCTGGTAAAGGGTTTTCAATGTGGACTGCAGTTCCATCATTCTCATGTTAGAACCACCCTAGAAGCTTTTTTCACCAAGGTGCATAGCAGGGACTGCTGAAGGCACTTACAGTACTTCTTGAGCTTTTAAGGAAGAGAACCTGAAAAACACAGTGGTCCCATGCCAAGGGGTCCAGCCATGGAGTGGGTTTCTCGGGACTCCAAGTGGAAGTCATGTAACAGCTGTGACATCCCACCCAGACCAGGAAACACTCAGATCTCCAAATAACACGGCAAGGACCCAAAAATGTCTCAGAGACACAGACCGCTCCATCTAGGATTGTGTCTTTATTCACCCATATAACAATCAGGCATCTACTGAGCACCTACTGTCTTCAATGCACCGCATGAGAAGTTATAGGAGATGAAAAGGTGACCCAGGCACAAATTCCAATCTCAGCAAGCTCACCAGCTTGTAGAGGGGCTAAGGTCTTCTCAAATAATTATCATCTGAGCCCCAAACAAACAAATACCATTAAAATTGATATAAAGTGTTAATGATGTGTTTCCACCTACCAAATGTATGGGAGAGGGTGGCAGAGGGGAAGATTTGAGAAGTAAAAATAAACTAATTTTAAAATGACAAAAGTTTAAGATAGATGTTATGACTCACTAATATTGGATAAGATATGCAAGCGGCTACAGGTACTGTTTTCCCATTTCATCTTTTCTGTTTTTTCAGCCTACAGCACCAGGTATTCATTCCCAGGTGGTCTCCCATCCAAGTACTAACCAGGCCCGACCCTGCTTAGCTTCTGAGATCAGACGAGATCAGGCACGTTCAGGGTGGTATGGCTGTAGACTCCCATTTCCTCTTAAAGTGGATGCTCTTAGAAGGGGAAACCAAGGCAGGTCTAAGTTTGGTCCAGACCCTAAGACTTAACCCACATATGGCCAGTGGCTATCAGAATTTCTATGACAAAGGACAGAACAGTTGCTATTACGGTGAATGTGAGCATGTCACTCTGCAGATACCAGTGAGCATTTGGGTGCAAGAGCTGAGGCTGCCAAGACGTGTCTGCTAACGTCCACAAGAAGCTCATCAATCACCAAGGACTCCAGGACAAGCCCCGCTGATGAAGCACTGTCAGGGTCAGTGGCGGGCAGAAAGGACGGTGGCTTCATGGAGACACCAGGTCAGGCCGCGCTACACACTCAATAACAGGCCTTGTGAGTGATAAAAGAAA